AGCAACCCTTACTTGGGTTCCTGTGCCTGTTAATCTTTACAGGAAGAGACTGCTCATCTTTCTCCCTCAAAGTGGCTATAGATTTGAACTGCTGACATTCTGGTGAGCAGTCCAACACTCCACTAGGGCTCCATAAAAAAAAAAAAAAAAACCTCTCCTCCCTCCCCAACTCACAACTCTAGATCCTTCCCATAGTTAACTAAACTTCTTGATCATCCCATATGTTGGCAACCTCCAGTCTCCTTTATAATGTGAAGAGGTGAGTTAGGGCAGAGGCTTTCTGTTCTGAAATCCCACCATCTTCCTTAAATCGAAACCAGAAAAAAACATTAATAAACATATTACAATGCACTCAAAACTAATTAAGTTTCTTTAGTTATTCCACATCTTCTGAGATTTCTTATAATTTCTTATGATTTGGTCACTGAAGACCAATATGACAACAAAGCAGTAAGCCTTGTGAACTACCACCTGTCTCGACCGTATACTAGTGGAGCAGTGTCCACAAGCAAGGTCAGTCCTTTCCGGAGCAGAGAGAGACTGCACTCTGTAGTGCAGTAGAGAATGGGAACTACGGGGAAGGCAAGCTCTGTCACTGTATCCCTGACAGTGTTTGATCCAAGTATCAATTCTATACTAAAGAAGGAGAAGCAGGATAATTTTTTGAAAACTAATTATTTGAGTAACTTAAAATTTAGTAAAGCCATTTATGGTACAAATGACTAGGTCAGACAGCTGCTATCTGTAAGGTTGGGGGTACAAACCCACTCTGAGGCAGCTCTGAAGAAAGGCCTGGTGATCTAATTCCAAAGCAAACCATCCATGAAAAACTTTATGGACACTGTTTTCCTCTGACACACATGAAATACTTGAGTCCATTAATTCCATGGCAACTGGACTTTTAAACCAATTACATAGCATATAACAAGTGTTCGATAAATATTAGTTATTAAGCAGGAGTGGCATCCACTTCCAAAATAGCTTACCTCCATAACTCTAGGAACTTGGAGAAACGTTCATAGGGTCACTATGAGTCGTCTATGACTCAACGACACTTAACAACAACAACAACATAGAGAGAGCTCTGTTGGCCTAGTGGACAGAAAGTGATGCTACCAAGCCAAAGGTGGGTGATTTTAATCTGCAACCCTCAGGCCTGGTTTTAATTGGTTTTGGTCAAACATTCTTCTAAGTGGTATAGCACTGGTCTGTCCATTTGCTGTACAGAGGTAACTCATGGTTGCTGTGATGCTAAACACTGTGACACTGATGTGTCAAATGCAATAATGGTTACCCATGGTGGACAGTGTTTGGTGGAGAACCTTGATTACAACAAGCCTGGAAGCAGGAGTGGCTTCCACTTCGGAAATAGCTGGCCTCTGGAAACTCTATGAACTTGGAGAAACGATGAAAGTTATACAAGTGTTTAGGTCTTTAACTCATAGGGTTGCTATGAGTTGTCTACTACTCGAACAACAACAATACAATCTCTTAAAAAAAGGTTATACCGAACTAAAGACAAGAACCAGGCTATCAACAACAAAATCACTATAACAGAAATTTTGATGTACAGTAAAAAGATAAAGAATAACATCAATTTGATATAAAAATATATAATACTAAAATGCCTTAACTACAAAATACCTTATTGTGCGGATTTAATTAAGTTGTTAAGACAAAATATACCATGTAAAGTCTAGGAAAGTACGACATATTAATCATCAAAATAAATTTTTATTTGGGATGCTTTATAGAGAAATGACAGACTACTTTATCATTAAAGAGTCAACTGACAACCATCTGTTGGTACACTAGGCAGAAGAGCAGTGTGCACGGGCACAGAAAGCCAGCATCAAATAATTGCTGATGTGTGTCAAGCCCTGTCCCAGGAACTTTGTCATTACTAAAAAAGTTCTCAAAATATGATGTAATACATTTTAAGTGATCACATTTTTATAAAATCAATTAAAAAATGTTTACATGCATACAAAAAGTTCTGTAAAAACAGTTAATTTTAGGTAGCCTGTCTATGAAAGATAGACTTTCTGTATTTTCTGAATCTTAATTTATACTTATTATAGTCATTAATAAAAAGAAAAAACATGGAAGAATGATTTAAAATAGCTACTGGAAAGAGGAAAAAGCTATGGCTCAGAGGGTTTTCTGTGTCATATTGCCAATTCCTTCCTTTTACTCACCCCTCAAGACGAGAGAATGGATCACATGAGCAGAACATGATTTATGTACAATTCCATGTAAGTAACCAAAATAATTTTTTATGGTAGCAAAGCAAAATTATTTTTCTATCTAACTAGGTATTTCTCAGTTTCCCGGGAAACTGATGTAAAACTGACGGAAATAAAGTGATTAAAAGCAAACTTTCAATGTGTATGTACATTATATTTGGTGTTCTGACCTTGTTGCTATGGAAACTTAAGAAGAAGAAATATTTGCAATTAAAATTGAGGTTTCTCTTATCACTTTTTCAAATGCCAAAAAATGTAAGATAAATGGAAATTAAAATTTAACTATCATCACGTTAATAACATTATTAAAGTACATGCATCTCTTTTCTCAACTCCTCTGACTTAACACACCTTATAAAATAGTCCTATACTTAATGCTTGGTGCATTACCTGCCCTCTCACCTGTACCTGGTATCTCACCTGCCCTCCTGCCAACATCCTGAGCTTCAATTCAGTTCCCAGAACTAACTTTAAATGCTATCAGTCCACTAATGTGACAGTTACTGAAGTCTTAATTTATGTGTGACTTCTGTCACCATCACGGTTAACTCTTATCCAATGTAGTGAATAGACACAGAATGGAGTTTGACAGATTGTAACTTTGGTACTTTTGTAAAATATAACTACACAAGAGTGCCTACTCATCAAATATAACAGTCTAAAGTAAGTTCTAGGAGTCTACAACCACCTTATAGATAAAACATAAAATGCAAGCTGTATTCTGAATTTTTAATCCTCACAAAGTGGCATTGGGAGCTCTGGTGGCCTAGTGTTAAGAAGCAGTGCTGCAATACCAAAGTCACATAGCTTAAATCCACCAGCTGCTCCGCCAGAGATGGATCTTGTCTTTGCCTCTGAAAACCTGCCATGGGTCGATCCCAAGTCCACAGCAGACAGCGAGGTGTAAGTCTGGCACCTTGGTTTTGGGGTTCAGTATCTAGAACCCAGCCATTTCCATCTCATTTTCATCAGCAGTTAAGGAAGCCTAAATGCAAATCTTAGTAACTAGCTGAAACAGCTAAATCAGATGGACATAAAAATGAAACATAATTTTAATTATTATTAAATTTTATTACTTTTAATGAACATTTACAGAGATTTTGGGTTTTCATTCATTCATTGTTGCACTGTTTTCTCTACCCTCCTCCCCAGTTCGTTCTTCTTCCGCCCCCCCCCATGTCTGTTTTAATTGTAGCTGAAATGGCCAAATCAGATGGACATAAAAATGAGACATAAATTTTGATCTCTCATCCAACACTAACCATCTAGTAATATTAGTAGTAATTACTAAGATGCTTGTCTCAAAGCACGGAGCTTTTAAGTTTTCACATGGAAACTCCATGCTGTTTTTAAAGTGGCATTAAGTCCCATAACCTCTTTGTTCATTCTTTTAATATTTTTTTAAATATTCTGAAAAGTCACATTCAGAGACTTCACTTCCCTAACTTTCACAAAACCTAGATCCCAAGTGCATTTAAACAGCGGTGCATTTTCTCTACAGTGAAGGCATGACTGATGTCTGGCATTTAAAATACAAGGGCAGAAGATTTAAAATCTCTAATGAAACAGTTTCTTCACTTCAAAGACACCTCCAAAGGGCAATCTTCATAAAGAGTCACTATTGTTGCCTAGAATTACTTTTACGTAGATTCACCCCTTTCCAAAGTTCCAGAGGCAAACATCAAATTATGTCCTCTCCCTCCGCCTCTCTCCACCAGCAGTTCAGCGCAAGGAATTTTAACCTCAACATTCCATCTAGAACAGGATTCTATTGAGGGGAGGATAAAGGGTAAAGAGAGCCCAGGAGAGGGAGAGGCAGAGGCACACCAGAGACCCCAGCTGGAATCCTAGCCCCCACCCCTAAATCTTCGCATTACAAATAAACGGCTGAACGCAGGTTTGTCTCCAGAAACTTCAGACCAACAAATTGCATGAGCCACGCCTCCCTTACACCCGCGACAGGCAACGTAAGTGAAGTCTGGGAGTCACGGGAGTCAGCTGGGAAGGGATGTGTGCCAAACACCCTGAACTCCAAGCGCTCTCCTTCCCTGCAGGGTAAAAAACTATCCCGGGGACCGCTGGCGGTAACGTCTCAAAGCTAGCCCCGTTATGTTAAAGCAACCCAGCCTCCCAAGTTTCTTTCCTCTCGGGAGGTTTCTACCGAGTTGACTCCAAACATCAGTCTACTTAAGGCCACACGTAGGTCCCGCTTGGAGTTTCCCACGCCCACCTCCAGTTGGAATCTAAGTAAAAATGCCTAGCTCGGAGGATTCTGGATCTCCCGAGGGGCAGCTACCCTAACAGGAGGGGCGAAGGGAAGGCGTTCCTTTCCTGCTTCCTCCACTTAGGTACCATCTGGATAAGGCAAGGCAGGAGGAGGAGACCTCGTTCGAGCTGCGGGATCAGGGTTTCCCGTGCCAACAAGGGGGCCAGACCACGACGCGATCCCAGGGGCAGAGCCGCCAACAGGCAGGGCCCGGGTTCCAGGCTGGACTGGGGAAAGGGACCAGGGGTCCCGGTCGGCGCAGACCCTCCGGGTGTGATCAGGGACAAGAGTCACGGACCGGACGCGGCAGGGACAAAACGAGGGTGGAGGGACCCGGCAGAGCTGGGCAGCGTCCCCCGGGGCCGGGCCCTGGGAAAGCCGGCTCCCGGCAGAAAAGAGCGCAAGGTCCCGGGGGACCAGCCGCGCGCCCCGGGATCCGACGGCGTCAGCCCCCCGCCCAGAGCTCTGGGCGCCGGCCGCCGCCTTACCTTCGGGCATCTCCCGGTCACTGATATGCTGCAGGTGGTGACCCTCGCCCGCTCCCAGATCCAACTCGCTGGACTCCACGGCAGCCGGTCCCGGCGCCGCGGCTACCGCCACCGCGTCGCCGGCCGCCGCCTCACACACTTCCGACTCGTAGTCCGGCTCGGCCGGCCCCGCGCGCCGGCCCAGCTTGGGGCTGGCATTGGGGGACACGCAACAGGTCAGCGTGTTCCCCATGGGGCGCCTCCAGTTCTCGCGGCCGCCGCAGCTCGCCCCCCGACTCGGCCCGGCTCAGCAGGCGCCCCCTCCCCCAACAATGGCGCGGCCGGCACGGGCAGCCCCGGGCTACGCCGGGGCTGTGCCGCACTCGCAGCAGCGGCCTCGCCGCTCTCCGCCCGGCCCCGGCAGGGCTCCGGCCCCGGCCGTGCACCAGCCGCCGCGCAGACACCGCCTCCCCCGAGCTGACTAGTCTGCGAGGGCGGCGACCAGCCCGGCTTATTTAAAAGGGGTGGGGACCCAACAAGCGCGGAGCGGCGCAGCCACTGCCGGCAGAGAGCGCGGCCCGAGCCCCTCCTCCTTCCGCCGCCGCCTCTTGACTGAACGCCGGTCGCCTAGACCGGTGCCGGCCAACCGGAACGCGCTCTGAAGTCACCTGGTTACGAGCAACCAATCACGTGCCCGCCTCGCTGCCCCGGCACGTGACTCCCATTGCCCCGCCTCCGCCCTGCGGCTCACCCGCCCGGTGACAGCTCCGCCCCCCGCGCGGCGTGTCCGGGCTCTGATTTCCATTCATTGCCGGCTGCTCCCGGCTTTCCGGTGCTAAGGGCAGCTGCCCGGGTGCCGGAGCGGGGGGCGGGGGCCTCCGTCCCACGTCCCTCCGAGCAAAGAGCCGGCTCCGTTAACATATCGGCTTCTCCAGCTCTCACTACTGGCTTTCGTATGATGCATTGTTCACTGAACTTTAGTTACAGTCCAATTTGTGAATGTTTTTGTCACTAAATGCTCCTCCTTCCTGCTTTGCAAGGACTATTAGTTTTTGCCTGAAACTTGACCTTAACAATTCCCAGAGTCTGATCCTACTCTTTTTAAGGGAGAACGCGTGTCTCAACTGCTTCATCCGAAAAAGTAGGCAGTGCCCCTGGTTTCACCCTTTCCAGGAAAAACACGCAACGCATAAAAGACTGTTATACAAAACTGAAAACCACAAAATTGTATAATCTTTGACTGATGAGGATGATAATAGTTAATATTTGCTAAGAACTGTACTCATTTAACTCTGAAAAATAAGCTACATTTTACACAGTATAGATCACGGTTTTTTTCCAGAAGAAACTGAGGTACCGAAGCTAAGATCCAAGATCACATGACTGCACAATGCAGGCGAGGGTGGTGTGTAAAATTTTATCCCAAGTACTCTGGATTCCCACAAGTATCTTATTCTGGTTGGCAGAAAATAAAGAGTCAAACTTGTAGGAAAGTGCCATTGCATAGCAGGGTGGGTGTGTTTGGGTTTTGGTTTGTTTTGTGTGTGTGCATTTGTTTATAAAAGAAGAATAATTTTTATGTGAATTTGAAAATGTTTTCACTCAACAAGTAGGTGATCTACTATAAATAGAACAGTTGTCATTTGAACCCATCCAGAGTTAGTTCCAAAATTCACCCAGAGGTAACTCAGAAGATAGGCTATGTTTGATTGTTGTGGAAAGGTCACGGACTTGAAAACCCAATGGAGCCTACCAGGCATAGATAGGTTCACACACAGATAGGACCACAAGTCTGAATCTACTAAAAAGCTACTAACAACAAACTTGTGGGGCACTGTTTGTATGAGGTAAATCTGCCCTCACTGAGTTCACAGGAATGAGCAAACAAAGGCTATGTAAGCCCTAGGTCACACTGCTGGGAGTGGTTGAATTTGGGATGCAAACCTAGATCCTAGAGCACCTAGTGCAGTGGTAAAGAGTTTGACTTTTACACTGTTGACATGAGAGTCTTTGACAGATTTGAATTTGAGTACCTATCATATATGTGGTGAGGTCATTCTGGATACTATATTGTTGCTAGTATGTGCCATTGAGTCAACTGTGACTCACAGTGACCCTATGAACAAAGGATCTGAACCCTGCCGTATCTTGTGTCATCCTCACTATCTCTGATATACCTGAGCCCATTGTTACAGCCAGTGTCAATTCATTTTGTTAAAGATCCTCTTCTATGTTGAACCCTCCACATTTCCAAGCTTGATCTCCTTCTTCAAGGACTGGCCCTTCCTAACAAGATACCCCAAGTATGTGAGAAACTTCACCATCCTTGCTTCCAAGGAGCACCCTGGTCACATTTTCTCTAAGACCTTCTGATTTGTTCTCTTAGCAGTCAATGCCCTATTCAACATTCTTCTCTACCACCACAACTCAAAGGCATCAATTCTGGACAATAAAAAGGTATTAACAAGACCAAGTAAGAAACTTTATCTCTACCTAGGAGCTTTGACGAAGAATCCATGCCTTTGAGGTGTGGTACTGAAGAAGAGTCTTAAGCATAACGTGGGCTACCAGGAGAAAAAACAGGTCTATCCTGGCTAGGGTGAAACCAAGCTGCTCCCTGGAGGCAAGGATTTTTAAGCTCTACTTTGGGCATGTGGCCAGGAGGGCCCAGTCCTTGGAGAAGGACATTATGCTTGTATGGGAGGAGGGACAGCACAGAAAAAGAAAACCCAAGATGAGATGGATTGACTTAGTGACAGGAGAAATGGAATTAGGTACATCAGAGACAATGAGATTGGCTCAGGATAGGGCAGGATTCAGAGCTATTGTACATAGGGTTGCTATGAGTTACAGGCAACTTGATAGCACATTACTACAACAGGAGCTTTGGTGGCACAGTGCATAACACACTCAACTGCTAGATGAGAGGTCCTTCCTTATAATTCATCAGTCACTCCTTCAGGGAAAGACAGTCTCCTGTGCTGCCAACCCAAAGGTACATGGTTCGAATCCACTAGCTGGTTCAAGGAAGAAAAAAGGTCTATCTCCTCCCAAGTGATTTATTGCCACTGAAGTCTCCTTGGAGGGTCAGCTATGGTCAGTTCTGATGCAAAGGTACATAAGAACACAACAAACCAGGGAGGGTCCTTGTGAGGTTACAGTGCATTTGGTTTTTGTTTGGCTTCATGTAGTCTTTAGGGAGCTACACTGCTATCCTAAAGGCTGTGTTTCTCTGAGGTTGAATCCACCAGTGATTCTGTGGGAGGCAGACAGACAATCTCCTCTGTGCTATTTACAGCCTTGGAAACGCAATGGAGGATCAGTCTGGAGTTGGTTCCAACTTGACCCAATGAGAGAAGAAATATGTGTCTAGGAGAAAAAAAAGAGCAAAGACAGTGCTAATGACTGAAGGAAGAGGAAACATTTGAGATATTTTGGAAGGTAGAATAGGAAGTGCTCGGTGATTGGACGTGAAGAAGGAAGAAAAAAGGCAAAAACGGCTTCCAGGGTTCTTCTGACTGGAGACTCAATGTGAAGCAGCGTCCTCCCTCTTAGGAAGAACAGGGTTGAGGAAGATTCCTTTTGGCTCTGTTATGTGGAACATCAGTGGAGTTCACTGGCTAAAAGTTGAAAATCTACTTCCAAAAAGAATCAGCCATTGATAACCTTACTCTGACATTCATGAGGTTGTCATGACTTCATATTCGTGGTGGCTTATGGTAAGGAGTTGCCTCACCAACACAAAGGTTCCTGGCTCGAAACCATCAGCTGCTCCATGGGAAAAAGATGGGCAATCTTCTCCTGTCTGAAAACCCACTGGGATTGGGTGGTCAGCTAGGAGTCAGTTCTGAGTCAATAGCACATAACAACAGTATATGGCATTTAAGAGAAACCTGCAAAGGAGACTAGATGAGGTTAGGCAATTTGTAGTAGAAATCAGGGGACCTGACTATTAGGAATGACTGATCAGCAGAGTCCCATGAGGGCAGGTTAGACACCAGCCTCATTTTTGTAAGCACACCACTCAGCATAGTGCCTGGTCCTAATTCCCGAATAAGCACAGACAAGCACCTTTAGGGAAGCAGGCAAGGTTTGTTGCCATTGGCTATGGCGATTTAGTGTCTGGAGATGTATGTAAGCCAGGCAGCAGAAGTGGATCTAGAAGTGAATGATGATGTTGTACGCAGTAACCCTTTTTCAACAGATTGAAATACTGTCCTACCCTTCAGTATTCCAAGTGAATACAAAACTGAAGCTCACCACCAACAACGGAGTTCTGGCTCCTAGCAACTTCTCTCTCATTTCTCAGGCTGTAAATCTTAACAGAGGAAGACCACCCATCTTTTCCAGACAGAATCATTGGTGGATTTAAACCTCAAGAGATGTGCAACCTCGTGGTCAGCAGTGCACGGGCAACATGCACTAAACCACCAGACTAAACCATCCCTCAGAGAGCTCCCCTCAGAACTCTCATTGCTGTGGAGACTGAACACTCTTATAGCTGACTCTCCAGCATGTTTTTAGACTGTCCATCACACTGGGTTCAAACTGCCTGTCTTTGGATTGACAGTACAACTCCTTAACCATGAGGCCAACAGAGTTCCCTTCCAAGAGGACAAATGAAAATACAAAGACAGGAAATGAGGGCTGTTCTTCCCAAATGTTTGTCTGAGAATAGTAGGTGTAGTAGTAATGGAAACCCTCTGGAGAGGGAGTTATGGATTGGTTACAACTCCATAGTACACAGCAGCAACTAGAGTAGGATATACAGTTTAAGGTTTTTTTCTTTCTTTAATTTGTAAAAGAAAAAATGTTGATGAGTATCCTAGGGCTGCTGTAGCAGAAAAACCACAAAGGGGTAGTTTTGAAGAATAGAATTTATTTTCTCACTGTTTTGGTGGTCAAAAACAGTCAGGGTCATAGCGATGCAGACTCCGTTGCTGGTATAGTCTGGGCCTTCCTTGTTCTCATCTAGTCTCACAGTATCCGTCCATCATCCCCGCCCCTCCCCTCTCCCTGGCTGTACTGGCTTCTGGGTGGAATCTGCTCTTTTGATGATCCCAAAGTGAGTAGGTTCAGAACACATCCTACACTGACATAGTCTCATTAACATGACAAAGAAAACTCTTCCTGAAAGGGATCGCTGTCTGCAGGTATAGAGCTAAGGATTCCATACATGTTGTCATTGTTAGGTATTCCCCAGATGACATTATTGGGCATTAACGATTACAGGCCTTAAAGGATTTAACTGGA